CCCCCTCCTGAAACATAGAAAGGGAAGGGGCAGCCGGCTCCTTGCACCCCAGGCTGCAGGCAGTGATTTGATGCTAACGCCACATCCTCAAGGAAGCTGCAGGGCTGTCCCGGAGGAGTCACCCTGCACTGATGGGTTTCGCTCTCCCTGTTGAAACAGGCCTTGCACCACCTCTTGCCACAGCACATCCCAGGCTTTCTTGGCTGATCCTGCCCAAAGGGAACCCAAAGCCTTGATTTCAGCAGCTCCACCAACCAAATATAACACTATATGTGGTAACAGGGGGGGAGAGAGCTCCCCAGAGCACGGGTGCTCCATCGCTACCACCCAAAACAAACCCAAAGCACAGATCCATTCCTGGCTGCTGCCTTTAGCAGCGCCATTCCCTGGATGGGGATGGACCATTGCCTTCCATGAGCTCTGTGGACCAGGGCAGTGATTTGCACCTCCAGTATAGCCACTCTGATGTCCTATTCTCAGCCTGACAAGAGGATGGCATCAAATCACATCCCAGGACACTGCTCTCCTCCTTGGCTCCGCTCATCCCTGCAGGCTGACAGCCACATGTGCTCACAGACACATCCAACGAGCTGCAAAGGTCAGCCCCGTGCCCTCAGGGAATGACGTGGGATCTAGCAGGGTGCCTTGAGGACACGGGCTGGCCATCAGAACCAAAGGGTGATGGCTCCTGGAGCATCCATGGACCCCAAAGCAGGCACTCTGAGAGGTAACGCGGCCACAGAGACAGCCTGGCTGGTGCTCGGTCTGAGTTACACAACCTCCCCATAGGGTCCTATTAAAGAGAAGAGACCTTGAGACATCCTCATTACAAAACAACATTCAAAAGGTGTCAGGGTTTATTATCTCGTCACACACAGCAATGATTCACTTCACGTGTGCTGTACCCAGAAGGTTAACAGGAGGATGGGCTGCTCCCTTCCCCGATGGCCTCTGCAATGGGATACCCACAGTAGGCAGGAGGATGCTACCATTCAAAAGTGGCTCTTCACCCAAGCGACCTGGAAAACACTTCCCAGCATCCCATAGCTTGAGGATGCCCTTCTCCAACGCCTTTCTTCTGCTCACATCTCTCCTTTCCAATGGCAGAACAACACAAGGGGCACCACGCACTGGCTCACCAGGACAGAGGAGGCACGGCAAGACACGGCATCAGCTCTCAGCCAAGAGCTGCCAACCTGGTCCCTTTCTGCACCACTTCAGTGCCAAAGGATACCCCAGGAGGACACAGGAGGGGAGGAAGCTGAAGATGCACCCAGCGAAGGACGGGCCTCGGGTACCTGTGTACAGTGATGGAGATGGAGAGGATGCAGAGCCCTGCGGCTCTCCCCACGGAGACCTTTCCATCGTGGGTACCTCGGTGGTTCAACTATACAGTCTATGGCTTCAAACCTCTTTTAGTTCATCTATTGCCAAGTTGGGGCTGAGCTCCTGGGGTTGGGTTTCGGTGGCTTTGTGAGGGTTTATTGCTATTCCATTGCCAGCAGTGCGCAGCAGAGGTTTACCAGAGCTGGGACTCTGTGGAGCCTCCGCACCAGGCTTCCATGTGCTTTCACAATCCCTTTCTTTCCAGTTTTTCCAGTATGGCCTGGATTCTGTGGACGGATTCCTTCCTGGCCTGCCGAACACTGTCCTGGCCCCCCGTCTCCACGGAATCCAGCTCCAGCAGCACCTTGGTGAGCATCTCCTCCAGCAGCCGGTAGGATTTATCCGTCTTTTTCCCTACAAACTCATCCACCTCCTCCTCCAGCTGCTCCGCCTCCCCCATCACATGGAGGATCCTCTGGATTCCCGGCTGGATGCCTGTGGGTTGGTGCTCACCGGGTGGGAGCTCCCTGTTGCCAACCCAAGGCTTCCGAGGAGCGCTGTCATAGAGCTGGGGCTGGGCGCTGTACTGCACCTTGGGGTGCAAGGGGGCTGCTGCGTGGTCATTCACTGGCCCATAGGGCTGGTGGTTGCCATCGGGGTAGTAGCTGGGGTGGTTTGTGCCGTGCTCGGGTTTATCATAAGCAGCGTCCTAAAGCAGGAGGAGAAAAAGCCTTTTTAAGCACATTTACCTAAAAACCAAGGGTTTCTCTGGTACCCGACACTTGCTCTGAGCTGTGCTCATGGGGGGACAGGGCAGTGATACAGGCAGCATCTACGCCGCCACACGCAGTGATGCTGTAACACAGCGGGACTCAAGCCCTGCCAAGACATCCCAAAGAGGCACCGGACCCACACACCAGTCCTGGACCACTAAAGAGAGATGCCAACGAGGGTCCTGTTTGGGCATCCCAAAGACACTTCTCTGCAGGTGGCTGTTCCCAAGGGATAGCAGCGCCCATCCCTAAATCCCTGCTGCACCGATCTCCCCATCAAACCCAGACGTGAACAGACCACTCCAAACGCATCGTTTCCATCTGGTTTTGGCTTAAACCATCCCTCAGTAAGGGATGGCTGTGCCCAAAACAAGCACTTGAAGAGGAATTCCAGAGGGTGCAGCCTGGCCCTCGGGGAGTCCCATGCTCTTCACTGCTTATGAGAGGTGTTGGACAAGGTCTGACCCATTTCCCTGCCCTGGGATGCCCGATATCTCCAGTGCCTTTCTATAGCTCCAGCCCTGCCTTTTGGCCTCGGGTATGCAAAGAGGTGGGTTTGCTGCAGTACCCGGATCCCTGCTGCTTTGTTTCTACCTAAACTAAATGTGCTCAGGGAAAGGGGCATTCCCAGGAGGCAGAGGCAGGGTTTGGGGAGGTCTGCCCACAACCAGGACCCCGCATCACCTTGCACTGCATCACTGCATCATCACTGCATCATCAGCACCATACCTTTGAGTCCCACGCGGTGGGGTGGGAAGTTGCTCCACTGCTGGTCCAGGATGGGTGCGAATCGGCCATGAAGGGGTTCCCATGCACTGAAGTGGATGCCCATGGGTACCGTGGCTGCACCCCATAGACAGGGTGAGGAGCCCAAGCGTCCTCCGGGGCTCTGGGCTGTGATGGGGGGGTGACCCCTGAGCTGTTGTCTCCATAGGGATACTGCGGGATGGGCATTCCCGGTGTCTGCAAGAGGAAGGGAGGAAGAGGAGGGGAGGAACAGGGGTTACCCCTGGAGTCACTGCTCCCTCCAGGCAGCCCCACCAACAGCCTTGCTGCCGGTTCCTGCTCTCCTTGCCCTCAACCTTGGAGATCCTAAGGAGATATCGGATGTTTCCCTATCTCCAACCTAAATCTCCCCTGTTTCATCCTGAACCCATCACCCCTTGTCCCACCCCTGATGAAGAGCATCCTTATAGCCCCCTTCAGACACTGCAATTGGGCTCTTACCTGCGGTGGGGAGTAGCTGGGACCCTGCTGCTGCCTCCGGAGCGAGGAGCCCTCGTTGGGACCATCCGGTGCCACGTAGCTCCAGGGGGGAGCCGGTGATGGGCACCGGTACCTGCCGGTGGGCTCGGAGGAGTAGGGGGGCCCGGAGCAGTGGTACCCCCGTGGCAGCCCCGTGTAGTGCGAGACAGCACCAGGAGGGTAGGAGGGGCTGTAAGCTCCATTGGCATAGGGAGAATCCATGGCCTGGGAAGGAGGGAAGAGCAGAGGAGAGGTCATGGGCTGTGGCTATGAGGCAATGGGAGCCTTCCTGCAGCCTTTATATCATCCCCAGGCTGCGTTGCATGCTCTGACGTTGGCCACCGTCAATGAACGCGTTTGATTCAGGCTTTGGTCAGAGCACAGGGGGTGTTGCAGCAGGTTGGTGTGGCCAGGGGGGGCTCAATGGCTCAGCAATAGCCCTCCCATTGCCCCCCCCCTCCGGCAAACAGCTCCGAGGAGCTTCAACCGCGTCACTGGTGGATGAAAACCGCCCCAGGAACGCTCGTTTCCCCTTTCAGGCTGCGAAGGGAAATGAGGCAAGAGGACGGGATCCACCAGTTCTGGGGCCTGAGGGCGCTGCGATCCCCCGAGCTGCGGGATCATGGAATGGGCTGGGTTGGAAGGGACCTTAAAGCTCATCCATAAAGCAAAGCCACCTTCCACTAGGGCAGGGTGCTCCCAACCTCTGTCCAACCTGGCCTTGAGCACTGCACAGCTTCTCCATTCAACCCATCCCAGCATCCCATCACCCTCATAGAGAAGAACTCAAGAGCTCATCCCCATCTCCCCTCTGGCAGGTTAAAGCCATTCCCCTTGTCCCGTCCCTGCAGGCCCTTGTCAACGGGTGGAGCCCATGGAGCCTCCCCATAGCTTTGGGCACAGCAGTCTTTCCCCATGAGCTGTTTGAGGGATCGGCATCAACCCTGCGCATCCCATGGGATTAGGACAAACCCCGGCTGTGCCCGCACAGCAGGAACAGGACGAGCAAAGCCTTTCTCACCGCGCAGCGTTTGTGCAACAGCCCCTAAAAACCGCTATTGCCGCAATAAACCCAAACGGGCCCCAAAGAGCAAGCGGCAGGAGCGGAAAACAACGGGAACGGGGATGCTTCCTCCCTGCGGGAAGCGGGGGTCCGGTTGGATGCGCGGCTCTCCCCGCTCATCCCGGCAGCATCCCCCCGGTGATCCCTGCGTTGGGACGCGGGTCCCAGCGATGTCACCTTGGACACAGCTCCTCCGCGCCCGTTTAAACGCGTTTGCACCCGCGCCAGCACCTGCCCGAGGTTCCCACCTCGGGGATGCTCTCAACGCAAACGGATCCGTTTGGAAACCGGGGGATGCGCGGCGGCCCCCGCCTGGCCAAGGCCCCGCGGCTGCCCCAGGGCACGGAGACCGCGGCTGCCCCGCCGGGAGGGGCGGGATCGCGGCGGCCGCTTCCCCCCCATCTCCGGCCCGGTCCCCGTTACCTGCGCCGCTGCCGGCGGGCGGGAGGACCCAGGGGCCCACAGCGGGCCCGGCTCGGCCGCGCGATCACAGCGCTCCATGGCCGCCGCGCCACCGCCCCGCCTCACCGCCAATCAGCGGCCCGGCCCCTACCGCTGCTGACCAATCAGCGGCCGCCCTGCGCGCACGGCTGGCGCGTCTTAAAGGGGCAGCGCCACACCGGGCTCCTCCCGGTTACGAGGTGGTTCCGGGGCGGCAGCGGCGGCACCGGCGCATGGCGGCGCTTCCGCCGGGGGCAGCACCATGAACTACATGCCCGGCACGGCCAGCCTCATCCAGGACATCGACAGTGAGTGCGCCGGGCTCCATGCAGCGGGTCCCTATGGATGCTGCATCCCATGGGGCTGCTGGACCCCCCCCCCCGGCACCGTGGGCAACGCTCCGGTGCGGGGCTCCTCGCTGGTTGCAGTCCCCCGCGCTGTGGGTTGGGGTCCGGGGTGTCCATCCCCACGCGTGGTCCCGTCTGAACCCCGCTTTTCTCCTCCTGTCCCCGCAGAGAAGCACCTGGTCCTGCTGCGGGACGGGCGGACGCTCATCGGGTACCTGCGCAGCATCGACCAGTTCGGTACGGGGGGCACCCTGAACTGGGGGGGGGGGGGTTGGATGTGCCCCGGTGCCAGGCGTGGGCTGGGGAGGGCAGCGAGGAGGAGGATGAGGAGGAAGAGGAGAGCCCCATAGGTACCCGTTTGTAGGAGCTGGGTGATGCTCCCGGGCTCACTGGAGGAGCTCCGTTCCCAAACAATAAAGAGAGAGCTTGGATTGAGTGGGAGCTCCCCATTTTGGGGTCCTTGTTTAATGCAGGGGCTGTATTGACCCCACTGCGTGCTGGTCCTGAGCAGGAATATGCGTTTCTTTAGTTAAAAACATGAGTTTTTAAAGAAATCAAGTTAATGGTGAGTGGAGTGATGAGATTGCAGGGTTAGGGTGTGTTTGTGCTGTGCCTTAAACACCCATCTGTGTTTAATTTCCCTAATCCCAATTACATCCAGTACTGATGCTCCAGCATCACAAATGGATGGAGACACCCATGGGCTTGGAACCTGATAGCGCTGCCATGGGTGCATGGTGCTGTGGCTTGTCCTGCCTGCCCAGGCTGTGGGTGCTGCATCCATCCATGGGAGATGGTTGGTGCCATCAGTGGTGGGACCGCTGCTGCTGCCCTGGTGGGTGGTGGGAGATGCTCTTTAATAGCTACAAAACACAGCATAATCTGGGTTCTTCTCTCTCTGCAGCAAACCTGGTGCTGCACCAGACTGTGGAGCGCATCCACGTGGGCAAGAAGTATGGGGACATCCCTCGAGGCATCTTTGTTGTGAGAGGAGAGAACGTTGTTCTGCTGGGGGAAATAGTAAGTGAGGGGCCCATCAGTTAAAGGGGGTCCCATTGTGAAGGGCTGATGGTTGAGCCCCATCCCTGGGGCTGGTTCAGGCTGAACCCCCATGGATTTGGTGCTGTTGGCTCCCCAAGAGCCCTCACCCATGTGCTGGGGGTCGCTGGTTGTGTCCTCCCCGTATCGCCTGCACCGTGTGCCCTGTGCATGCAAACCTATGGGGAGGGTGGACCCAAGCTGCCTGTGTGCCCCCCTCAGCATCCATCCTGCCCCGTTAACACTGGGAGGAGCGATGGCACCGCTCTTCCCTAGGATGCGCTTGGAGCCTGGAGCATCCCATGGGCTGTTTGTATGGCAGGACCTGGAGAAGGAGAGCGATACCCCGCTGCAGCAGGTCTCCATCGAGGAGATCCTGGAGGAGCAGCGCCTGGAGCAGCAGGCGAAGCAGGAGTCGGAGAAGCTGAAGGTGCAGGCGCTGAAGGAGCGGGGGCTCTGCGTGCCGCGGGCTGACACCCTGGATGAGTACTGAGCCCGCATCCCTAGGAGCCACGGCGCTCCCGTGGATCCCACGTTGGGTTTTCCATGGCGCAGAGGAGGAGGTGATGCCTTTGGGTCCTCTCCTTGCATGGAAGGAGGAGGAGGAGGAGAAGGGGAGGCAGGCGCCTGCCCCGTGCACTGGGGAGCACAAGGGGAGTGTGTTCAGGACGAAACCCACTTGGTCCTTTTGGGGTGGTTTTGCTTTCGTTCCTCTTCCCATGCCTCGGGGGGAGTTTTCCCTTCACCTGTAAATAAACCCTCAGTCTCCACAGCAACGGCTCTGCCTCTGGTCCCCTCCATCCGCATCCCAGTGCAGGACCCTCTGGAGCAGGGAAAGGGATGCTCCAGGTCAGCTGAGTGCACTGATGGCCTAATTAGTGCTAATGAAGAGCATCTCCTCCCCTCAGTGCAGCAGGTAGAGGGGTCCTTTGGGATGTGCTTGTCCCCATCCCATTGGGAGCCGGCTGGGATGGGATTGGATTTGGGGAGGAAAGAGCAAACCCAGGTGCTGAGTGGAGACTTCTCCCTCTGCAGCCTCTGCCTGCTCATTCCCTGTGCTGCAGGGTCCCCATTAAGGGGTTTCCCTCTTCCCAAGCACCTTGGTTTAGGTAGGATGAGCCCAGCTCACAGTGAGGGCACAGGGGTGAAGCCCCCATAGCCAAGATTGGGGTCTTCTCTGCCCCACAGCTCCCTTCTTCTGGTGCTGGTGGTGGGGAAGCAGCCTCCCCATGGGCTTTGTGCGGGTGGGATAGGGTGAGTTTGGTGGGGGGACAGGAAAAACAAGGGAATTCCCACTGTGCCTTAACAACAATGGGATAACCGGGGCGTTGGAGCTGATGGGGAACCCAAATCCCCTGGGAGGATGCAGCTGATTTGGGGCTGAAGGGGGTCCTGTACCCGGGATGAGGGTGGGATGGGGCTCCCATCCATTGGGATTGCAGGAGCAGGATGAGGATGTTGGAGGTGAAGGCTGCAGCACTGCCCCTTACATCAGCCTGTGATGCCTTGGGGGGTGGTCCTGCTCCCATCCTGATCCATCCCAACCCTATTCCCATGCTGCATCCTGGATTCCCTCCCCATAGGCATCGTGGTGGTGCTGGTGCCCTCCCCAGGAGGGAGAGGTTTAGCATTAGCACCGATGCTCGCATCCCATGGGATGCACAACCCATGTGGGCTGGAGCCTCGGGATGAGGTTGATGTCAGTGTGTGATGCTGGAAGAGGTGCTGGGGTATGGGAAGCGGAGCCACCTTTGCCAAGGGCTGCCCTGGGACACAGCAGGATCATGCATGTCCCTTTATCCCCCTTCCCTTTGAGGTCCCCATCGCAGGGCTCAGCCAGGGAGATGCGTTGGGATGCAGGAGACGAGCATCATTGGTGTCATCGCAACAAACAGGTTAAAACCCAAGAGGATCATTGGGTGCTGGTGCCTACAGAGTCCATTGGAGAGGCAGGGAGGGAACTGTGTAGGGAATGTGCCCCCGAGCCTGCCCACTGCGAGGTCAAGGATGCCCATAGATGATGGATGCAGGGTCCTTGCCTTCATCCTTGGTATTGCAGTGCCGGGTGGCGGTACCCAGCTGAGGATGCTGTTAACTGGGGCAGATGGGACAGGAAAGGTGTTTGGTTCCTTATCCCTATCCTTATCCCTATCCTTATCCCTATCCTTATCCCTATCCTTATCCCTATCCTTATCCCTATCCTTATCCCTATCCTTATCCCTATCCTTATCCCTATCCTTATCCCTATCCTTATCCCTATCCTTATCCCTAAACACAATGAGAACGTTCACAGACCTGCCCATAGGGAACTGTGATGCTTGTCCATCAGTTAAGGGGCATTTCAAACACCCAAACCAACCTGGAAGTGTTGGAATTGCTCTTTCCTCTGAGGAACCCAGTGCAGAGCCTATTGCAGGCTACAGGGACCTGGTTTAGCTGTGTTTCTGCATCTCTGCCCCCAGCACCTTTGGTTCCCATTCACCCCCATTCCTTGTCTGTGTGAGCATCATCAGTGCTGGGACATGGGGGTCTGATGGGGTTTTGAGGCTGAAAGCTGCAGATGGAGCCGTGTGGTGGCTTTGGGGGTGTTTTGTGGGGCTCTTTTGCCTCCCCCAGTGTTTCCCCACCCCACTCCTGCCCCACAGATGTGGGTTGGAGGGCTCTGCACCCATCCCGCAGTGGGGCTGTGCTGTATCCCCTTGCTGGTACACAGGATGCGGCTCCCCTCGTCACCAGCAGTGGGTCCAGGCAAGTCACTGGGGCCTCATCCTGCCCCATGCAGGGGGGTGATGCTGGATGCACAATGGGCTCCATTGGCCAGAGCATCCTGGACAGGAGCCTTCCCAGAGCCTGAGGTAGGTGCTGGGACCCGAATCCCATCCCTGATGCCTGTGGTACCCTGGATGCTGTTGCTCCTTAGCACCCCAATAGGTGCTGAGCTGTTGTCCCATTGGATGCACCCCTGAGGGGTGTCCAAGGAGCTGGTGAGGGTGCTGGGGAGGTCCCAGTTAAACCAGTCCCTGCTATGGGAGTTTTGGGTGGCTTTGTGCACAGCATCCTCCAGGCAGGGCTGGGGTCCATGGACCATGTTGGGGGGGTCCCCCCTGCTCTCCATAGACCCATTGGGGACCCTGGAATCACCCCTGTGTGGGGCTGCAGCACTGGGATTATAGGGAATGTCCCTATAAACACTTGGGATGGGGACGGTGCAGCTCAAGTGGCTTCCCCTTGATCCCACCATCACCTCCATCAATGGGAGCACAAGATCCTGATGGGAGAGCAGCAGCCGCACCGGAGAGGAGCCATCCATGGGAGCAACGGGCCCATTCCCATGTGCCAGGTGGGTCCCAAACCATTCCCTATGGGAGCAGAGGGGAGGCAATGGGGCTGCGTTGCTGCTTGGTGACCTCCCCGTTGTGCAATAGCAGGGGGAAGGTCAGATCCCGCAGGAGGGAGCCAGGGTTGACGTCAAGGGAAGCAGCTGGGGATGGGAGCGGGGCCATAACTCATCCCGGGAATGGCGTTTTCATCCTTGACTCTTATCATTGCTCTGCATTGCCCACTGCTCCCAGCCCCAGGGGCAGATAAACCGGGAGGTTCAGGGCTGCTCCCAGCCCCATAGCGTGCCCCATGTTCAGCTGTGTAGGGCTGACAGAGGGGCTGTGTTTGCGTGGGGTCCTCCAGCACACTCGTGTCTATGTGATGTGCATGAAGCATCCCGGTGTTCCTGCATCCCGGGTACCACCATCCCAGCGGTGCTGGGTGTCCTCTTCTGCTGCGTTTGGACCTATGGGTCGGGGTCTAATGTGATGCCACAGGAATGGGGTCTGGTCCCCTATGGAGGGAGTCGTGGTGTGTTGGGAGCTGAGGATGGGCTGAGCCTGGCTCTGGGTGTTGCATGGGTGCTATCCATCGTTATCCATGATCTCATTACCCACTGTGATCAGTTCTTACCCCCTATCCGGATCTTTATCCATGGCTGCTCCATTCACGAGCACGCATCCAGCCCTGTGCAAGGAGCCAGCTCCGGCCTTGGCCCCATGGGTCCTGCCGTAAGCGATGGCTCTTATCTCCCTGCTGACGAGCCAGCATCCTTCAGCCGCAGTACTTAAGGCCGAGCCCCATTGGGGCGGAGGCAGAGCAGCTCCCATCACCGAGAGAGAGAGAAGCAGGAACCGGGATCCCCAAGGGCTGCATCCACACTGGAAGATGCTGCCGGCCACGTTCAAGCTCTGCGCTGCCATCTCCTACCAACACCTGCGGAACATGAGGGGTTAGGGTTAGGGCTGCCTTGAGGCCACGGGGATGGGCTCCCCTATTGGGGTTGGGTTGTGTCTCTGGCATCTCGTTGTTACTGGGATGGGGGGGGAGGATGGGATGCAAGGATTTGGTGTTGTGTTAATCCATCTCCACCCTGTCCCTTGGGGTTGCCCCTCGGGTGTTTCCATGCTGGGATCTGCTCCCCATGGAACAAACCCAAGCAGAGGGTTTGTTCAGGGTGTTTGAAGCGGGGGCCATGGGGCTGACGCTGCTCTGCCCCCAGGTCTCAGGAGACAAGCGGCCCTCACCATCGGCCAGGAGCTGAGCAAGCTCGTGTGCCGCAGCCCCGGCCCCGGGCCCTGGATCAGCCACGTCCGCAGGAGGAGCTCCTTGCTCAGTGAGTGACCTGCACTGGGCTCTGACCCTGTCCACCCCCTTTCCATCCCCCTTTCTATCCCCTCTTTCCATCCCCTCTTTCCACCCCCTCTTTCCATCCCTGTTTCCACCCCCCTTTCCATCCCCTTTCCATCCCTTTTTACATCCCCATTTCCACCCCCTTTCCACATTGCCCTTTCCATCCCTTTTACGTCTCTTTGCGTCCCCCCTTTGCGTCCCCCCTTTGCGTCCCCCCTTTGCGTCCCCCCTTTGCGTCCCCCCTTTGCGTCCCCCCTTTGCGTCCCCCCTTTGCGTCCCCCCTTTGCGTCCCCCCTTTGCGCCCCCCCTTTGCGCCCCCCCTTTGCGCCCCCCCTTTGCAGCCCCCCTTTGCAGCCCCTTTTACATCCCCCTTTCCATCCCATTTTGCACCCCTCTTTCCACCCCCCTCTCCACCACTCTTTCCATCCCCTTTTTACAGCCCCCTTTCCATCCCCCTTTCCATCCCCCTTTCCATCCCCCTTTCCATCCCCCTTTCCATCCCCCCTTTCCATCCCCCCTTTCCATCCCCCCTTTCCATCCCCCTTTCCATTCCCCCTTTCCCCCTTTTCCATCCCCCTTTCCCATCCCCCTTTCCATCCCCCTTTCCATCCCCCTTTCCATCCCCCTTTCCATCCCCCTTTCCATCCCCCTTTCCATCCCCTTCATCCCATCCCCTCTTTTCCATCCCCCTTTCCATCCCCCTTTCCATCCCCCTTTCCATCCCCCCTTTCCATCCCCCTTTCCATCCCCCTTTCCATCCCCCTTTCCATCCCCCTTTCCATCCCCCTTTCCATCCCCCTTTCCACCCCCTTTCCATCCCGGTGGTGACAGTCACCATCAGGGCTGTATGAAGTGGTTGGGAAAAACCTGCTCGTGGGCACCCCATGCCCGTGCAGCGCAGGCAAAGCAGGGGCCGAGTTCCCTTCCCCATGTCTGGAGCAGTGGATCTGATGCAGATGAAGCTCATCCGAGGGTGTGCTTTGGTCCATGAGTGTTCTTACACCGCTGCTGTCTGACCTGGTGCAGGCTCAAGGCTGGAGGAGAAGCCCTTCAGTGAGGTGGAGATGTCCTACATCAAACAAGGGGAAGAAGCGCTCC